AGCTTATTTTGCAGCTGAAACACATACCATCACGGCCGCACATTTCGCTTTCAACGGCCTTAGGTTGTTCGCCCCTGATCTAGCTATTTTCACGCTAACCGGCCTTCCAACATTTCCGTTATAAGGAATATAATTAAATAGACCTATATGTTTACTTCGTAGCGCTCTAGTATATACTTTCCTGTTTTCTGTAATGTTTTGAAACCGCCATACTTGGCGACGAATACTTACAAGACAACTTCCCCGGGTCAAGGAATCCGATTTCCGCATTTTTAACAAATACGGGCTATTTACGTAAGTAGGTTGCCATGTTTTTATCGACCTATTTGTCATCATAAACACGGATTGTTTGCGCTAATCAATATGGCAATTTCGTTTTTGATATTATCGTTCAAGCTCTGTTTACACTATACTGTTTCGTATCGTATTTCGTATCACGTTACACGCCAAGCCTCTCTGATATATAACACAACCAAAATTCAAATAAAAAAATTAACAAGCAGTCAGCTGACTATCCTAAGTGATTCAAGAGTCTTGCTGCACACTAACACAAATATATTTCTGTAACGTTTCGTCTGACCAAGGTCAGACATACGTAGTTCAACTACTGACTGTTTGGGTATAATTAAATCATTTTTCTTTATCAAAACGTAATATTTCTTTTAAATTGTGTCTGTAATCATTTTCAGCGGACTCATCGTGAACAAGAATTAAAAATGCGTTGTACAGTTTTGGATATTATTCTGGTATTCCATTTTTTGACCTGTTTTTGTTTATTCTGTTTGTCTTACTAACAATTACTTAATGGTACTAAGCCAAACATAGAAAGGTGGAGACCTGGAGGAAATTGTAAATTAGATACTAAAGTTTGATCTGTCATGTAACATTCATGGTTTAAGAATATTTAATTTTCGCTGCTTAGATAATGTAGATAATGTATGACCACATGGCAAGTTTTTTAAGGAATTATTTTCAACATCTAATAAGTAGGTAGGTCTTTGATCTGAATTGTATCATTTATTAAATAATTCTTAAATAGATGATGATTAATATTACGCCCACAGTGCCGAGCTTATTGGAAGCCGTGGAATTTTTGTGTGCATGTGTACAGTAATCTGCATATTCAGTACTTATTCGTTTTTGTGTAAGACCTTAGTCGGCGATCGCGAGCTATTTTGAAGATTCTAGTTTATTGCGGTCAAAAGCAGGTTGGCTACCCCTGATATAAGTTACGGTGAGGCAATAAGAATATATTACATGATTATCGAATCGAGTTGTAAAGTTTTATCTCACTACTTACTATTGAATTAATTTATCACAAAGGAATTTTTTTAAAATAATTGTCAAATTAGCAATGCTTCTGAATGGAAGTGAAAGGGAAATTACGCATGCTTATAACTAGACTTACCTACCGTACCAGGAAATAGTTTTGTATGCTCTGCTATAGTTTCAGTTTAGCAGTAGATTTCAGGAATATACGTTACGTAAAATGCGCATTTAAAATATGGACTTTGGAGAACGAACAGATATTTGATCACGACAAATTATGTGAGCTAATTCTCTAAACTTAAAATCAAAATCTAAGTACAACCAAGAAAACCTGAGCGAACTAGCAATAAAATAAATGACTCGAATATACTATATATCGGGCTGTCGTAAATGTTGCTGGTACTAAAATTATCAACCAATCTTGAGAAGGATATATATATATATAAATCTGACCCCGAAGTCTTATATAAAATTGGCCTATATCGAATAAGTCTCCACAACTTAAACGACTTAAATGCTAAGTGATTGGTTCAATTGCGAGCTTTCGCATGTCATTTGAAGCGCGGAAACAAGCAATTTATATTAAAGTTATTTAATAAATCACCACTTTAAAATTGTCCCTCGGATGTAGACTATCGTATACTATATACGATTGCTATTATATAAGGCTCATAAGCTGTCTATAGAAAGCAAACGAGCCGTCGCGCATTCGGCAGTTAAATGTTAAATATAACTTATGTAGGTACAAGTTATTTTACAGATCTTTGACTGGAATTTCGAAGTGCTTGTCAAAAGTCACCGATATTTTATCTATATAGTATATAAGTGTGATCTTAGTATGCTTGTTAATATACCACCTACAGTCCTATACAGTCGCCATACACGCCAGGTGGAGATGAGGAAAGAATGTTGATAGTAAAAGAAGGAATAGTTGCAGCGTCTTATTATTGAATACAATGTTCATATTGTTTAAAATAATTTAATTTATTAACAGCATATCGGCTAGTTTTACCATGTATATACTAATTTGTCACTTTGTATAGTTCAACAAATAATAAAGTAAGAACTTTAAATGGAAAATAGGGCCACGCTTATAGTACCGCTTTTACTTGCTAGTGTCTTAATTTGAATATACCTAACTGCGGGAACTTCCATTGCGTTTAGATTAAGGTATTTCGTTGTTATCTCACATGTTAGGAATTTTCCGTTGATACATGAATAAGGTAAAGGCGATAGGTGTTACTGTTAGGGCAACAAGTCTCCTGTGATTCAGATTATCTGGACGAGTGGTGTTACAACAGGTGGTGGAAAATGTTTTGCAAGGGCCGCATACAGAATCTTTTTTTAAGTTTCGCATTAAGAAACATACCTCTTCTTTTTCAAAGACTATATCATATAGTTCACCTTCACATACCTTTACTAAATATGTAATATTTAAAATATCCCAAATTAAATTTTCTTTTAGCTATATATATATATATATAAGATATAAATATATTTGATGACAAAGTATAAACATATATAGTTTAGAATCAGTGGTTCTCACAGGGTGGGGTAGCGTGAAGCTACTTAAAATCAAAATACTTTTTAAATTTGATCTTGCCCGCATTATTTTGATATTTCGAAACTTTTAATTTATTTCATTATGTACATTCCACGCACATTTTTCTTTTTGAAATAAAACCTATTTTTGCCTTACTATCTGGTATTTGTAGCTTATTGTTAGCTAGTTATTTGTGAGGTGGGGTGCGTGCAAGGCTTGACAAATTCTAAAAAGCGGCTTGAAAGTTTTAGAACCGCTGGTTTAGATAATCTAAATCAAGTTTAAAAATATGTCTACATTTTGTATGTATTTGTTGGAGATTTCACAACTTCCTCCAATGCTTTGACAGGCGCAGTTTGACCATCCGGGAGTTACAATGATAAATCGTCGCAAAACGTTTCATATAATAGCGAAAGAATGAAAGCACTTGGGGTTTGTTTAAATACTTTGGTATGAGGTAGATCCGGGTCTGAATCGATATGACTACTCTTATTCCCAATATAGTACACAGATATAAATATGCAGAAAATTAATATAATTTGAGCGTGTTTTTTGTGATACGTGTTTAGCTTCTTCTGTTTTCCGGGAACAAGAATTTCAAGAAAGCGTCACAATTGTCTAAACATCGTTTTGTTCTCACTCTGCTCTCGCATCCCATACCCAACATGGACTGTCAACCGGACCTGATACCGGTTTCTCAGATTTTTATTTTAGTTTTTTTTTTCCAAATTTAGGGGGTGGTATATATTATGTTATTGGTGATAAAACCATTTGTAACCTATAAAATTGTTTTAAGTATTTTATTGATTATTTTCACCGGAATATGAACCACTTTCTGAATATCCAAATACTTTTTTTTATTTAGTGTTACATGAAAGTTAGAGAGGTGGGGTGTTCGAAATTTTAGGGACGGGAGGGGGGTGCTGTAGGAAAATCACTGCCTGATACCATCTTTAATATGCGTAAGTTGGGTTTTGCTTTTCATCGGGAAAGTCCGCACACAAATCCGTAAAGGACTTATATACAGAGTGGATTGAACGAATACCCGTAGACTTAAATATTATTTTAAGCTGCAGCTTAAAAATGTACTAAAAATTGGCTATTTTCGTCTTATTTTATCAGCAACCCGCACAGTTGGAGAAAAAATAAGTGCATGAGTTATATTTATAATGGATTAGTGACAAACGGAAAGCGCTGCGGGGTAAGTGTACACGACACAAAGACTAAATATAAGCCGTCTAGCTCGTTTTAATTAAAGCATGTTAAAATAGAAATTGATGTCGGCGATGTATTTTGTATCTGGCTTTTCGATATTTAATGGGGATCTTGTTATCCTACTTATGAAGAAAGTTTATAAAAAGAAATTGGTGTATTTGAATCAGTAATAAGTAGTTTATTTTCTCAGCATGCTAAAAATATGCACTGAACATACAGAATATTAACGGAAACAAAAATGGCATTTATGGGTGAGGCGCAAAAAATGCTACGCTGTAATATAGAATGTAGGATGTCGACGGGTTTGTGCTGTTAATGTAAAACTAAATTGCCAATGAAAATGTAGGGAGGGGCAGGGTTCACGTCAAGCTAAATTTTCAACGTTTGCTAAATAAATACCGTAATAAGTCATTTCCGTCTTACCAGACACCATATTGTACCTTAACTTTATGCATCAAAGAACGTATAGTTCCGGTAAATATAGATTTGTATATATAGAACTAAACTGACTTGCACTACATGATTTTGTCGTAAATTCCGGCATATAGTACGCTGAGTAAAACGCGGTACCGTCTTGTATGCCCAAGTTATTTCCGTAGGCTTACCGAACCACAACACACCTTCGAAACGCCCATTATGATCGGATTAACTTATTGCGTCAGAAAAGTCTTTAATGGTTGTTCATGACGACTGCCGGTATTGTTTATTACGTGATAATGGCCACGTGAGGAATTCGCGCCGTATGACCAGTTGTGAGATATACCGGTACATATTTAAACTATATTAGTTCATTTTTATAGCATTTTAACTTTATATTTTTAGGAAAATTTAACGCCATGAAGAAGGCAAATATTGTCTGACTTTCGCGGTAATCCCAAGCCCGAGTTGCGCCCACAGCTGCGCGGTTTCCTGTTGTATATACAAATATATTAGACTGTAGAGACCATATACCGGTATATATAGCTGAATTAAGATGAAAACTTGCGCTGTACAAAGTAAAATACAGTGCGTACTTAAAACAGCGGTAAAACAAACTCCATCGAGTAAACGCCAAGGACAAAATTATTGTGTTGAAGCTACTCAAGAAATTTGTCTAGAGGCAGAAGAATGCGATTTTACCAAGGCCATAGCAAGTGAAAAGTTTGATGGAACTTGCTGTCATGTAAGAATTAATAATGGACGGTTAATGCTATGGGCTAGGTTGGATAGGAAACCAAGCAAAGGTGCCGATAAGAGGTTTAAAGCATATCAGAGAAAACATAGAGAATGGAAGCTTACAAAAACTGGTGAAGAGCCAATTTTTCAATGGAAGTTTCCAAATGATTTAAAAACTGTTCCAGATGAATGGATTCCAGCAGATGACATTAAAATAGATGATTTCACTAAATTTCCAATCCCTGACAAAAACGGACATATCCCAGGTTGGGTTCCAGTTGAAAGTACGAACCCACAATACTGCTGGCACTCGTCAGTCATAGATTATAACACTGGTATGGCATTGACTTTAAAACTATCTAGTGACACCAAAAATGGCGACAAAGCAGTTGAAATTTCACCAACGCCTCTTGCTGATCTAGACAGAAAAACTCTCGAATTGATTGGAACTAATATTAATGGAAATCCATATGGTTTGGGTAGCAAAAGTAAGCCTTTCCATGTATTAGTTGAACATGGTTGTATATCTGTATTAGACTTACCTCAAAGCATATCATATGAATCAATATATACATGGTTTACCTCCAATTCTCATGCGTCTGTTGAAGGAATTGTTTGGCATTTTTCGTCAGGTAAAATGTTCAAGTTACATCGTCACCACTTAAAGTTGTCATGGCCGCAGAATGATGTGAATCCACTTTTACGGGACCGTCCTGTGATCATAAAAACTGGCAGTTTGCCTTCTAAAGAAAATTCTTCTAATTCAAAATCTATGTTTAATTATTTGTTTTCATTGAATAGTACATCGTTTTCAAAATTTCGAGATATTTTTGAAATTAGTGAGTCAGTAAATGGTGCTGTTTAGTTGCTTGAGTTTATAAATTCATATATTCTATGTCTGCTAGCTATTTTTGATTGTTTCAGGTGTACTTTATTTCTATCCTCGTCCTGTCACTAATAAGAATTGTTTAATTGGATTGTACAGAGTTTGATATTTCGTTAAATATTAGTAACTTCTAGTCTAGAGCCCTGCTCATATGGAAGTCGAGAATATACCTCAAGAAAAAATGCAGCTGTTATTTTTTTTATCACAATACTAAAAGGTACAATTTTTTCGTAATGAAATTGAAGGTATTTAAATTCAAAACAAGAAGAAGTTTTGGATATGGTGTGAATATAAATAAACCTGAAAAATAATTTCTGATTTTCTTTACATTAGATGATGCTTTGGTAGTCATTTTGCTTGGGGGGTAAAGTTTGCCTTTGTTTTAATTTGGATGTTTTTGTTACATTTTTTACAAACAAAGTCTCTTATCTTATCAGTAGAAAACCCGTGACGCAAACACGGATATGGAAGTTTCTGTTTATTCCCGCGATTAAACTTTGGAAGCACTTGTTTCTTTGACAAGTTATTGAAAGTTGCCTGAGTCAACAGTTGAATAGTGTCCTTATATATAAGTGTTATTGCGACTTTAGAAAAATAAATATTGCACCATTCAATATCATAATTAAAAGTTTAGGCTTCTTATCAAATTTTTTTTTTATAGGATTAAAAGTGACACACTCAATTTATTCGCACATAAGTTTTACAGACAAATTCCAGAAATTTTCATATACAAATAGTTTGGTATTTCAGTTTTTTGCTTTAAAAGTATTTTTTAATTATATACCAGATTTATCAAGCAGAACGATTACCGGTATATTGAACTAGAATAAGTTTGGTAAAACCATAAAAATATCAAAGTCTACAGAAAAAAGTCCTTTTTCTTTTGAAATATACTTTTTTGTTTAAACTAAATTATGAGTTCCTTGCCCATGGCACACCCACTCTGACATTATTTATCCAAGCACCAAGGTGAAACTGGTAAAGTCTTGTATGTCATGTTTTTCAGTAATTCATTAATTTTCTACTATATAATGACGTATTCCCGATATGTAAATAAATTTTACGCTTTGCTCAAAGTTCCCGCCTACAGCACTCATGTTATACCTCCGACACACCAACTCTAATTTTATTTGTTCGGGTGACAGGGTGATGCAATTACTTTTACAACCATATGCTATTTTAGCGTACAGTGCTGAGTGCCTTGTCCCATATGAGTCAAGCTCACGTATACTAGTTTTTATAATGATATATTTGCGAATTTGTCAATTTTTCCTATTTAATGATGTATAGTTAACTTGCTTTAAAATTATTCTCCCGAGATTTCAGATTTGGTATTTCAGAATTCTCAGTCTTATGCTTATAAATTGCAATAATTTTTCATCGAAATAAGGTGTCTCTATAACCAACCAATAACCCTCTATGAAGGATGCAAATTGCGACTCTGACCATATATTAACATGAGGTATCAAATCCGCCCCCCCCCCCTCCCCTATTTGATTTAGGTGACATATATCGAATATCCTTGCATATAATTCGAGTTCGAAACTCAAAAAAAGTTGCCAAACTATGGGGTCTGCTTATTACAAGCATACCCCTGATAGCACTAAAAATTTGGCATATACGCGCATAACTCTGATGCATATATGGTTATCATTTTCGGTGCTGCCGAAGTATGCGAACCAAGATGGCGGACATCGGAACGTAACATGGGTAACAGGTTAGGGTTAGGCGATAATTTCTTTCCAATTTACCTTATTTTAGTCCTATTATCAGTTCGAAGACTAGCCAAGAGCCTCCCGTAGTATTTATACCTAAAATTATGGCCTAACCCTAACCTATACACATATTACATTCCGATGTCCGCCATCTTGGTTCGCATACTTCGGGAGCCCCTCATTTTCATTAAATGATGCATACGGCGTGTCACGATTTGTAGGGTCGGCTTTTATGCAAATTTTATCAAATTCACGACTTTAGGCCCTTTTTTAGGGGGCTGCCTCATAAGCGAGATCGACTTATATGGGAGGATATACATTGCCTCATGCTATAGTATTACCTGTAAAGGTGCATATCAAATTCTATGGAGTTACGGTAATTGGAATTGCTGGTGCATCCCCCTTTAATCTGTGTAGTGTTTCCATCCAGGTGCTGCTGCCTTACTGTTTATTTATTATTGAATATTGTAATTCGATAGTTTTCTGTGTAAAGCTAGACAACCAATGTGACATATAAATTTATTTTTGGGACGTCAACCCCAATTCCACCTCTAAATATTATGGCACCATATTTTACTTTATATTTATTGGCCAATAATGACCCCACCCACACAGAACACGCCCCCTACTCATCTCTAAATCTGACTTTGGGACAAATCCACTTCAACATTTCAATATCTAACATTTTTGATACTTTTGATTGGCCCTACACGGTACACACCCACTTGTCTGATTACAGACTTCAATAAGTACTTAAAGCTTAGAATACTTTCATCTTGACATCATTTTTCCAGTACATCACTGCAATCAAGAATTGAATCTGTAATTTTTGACGTTTACAGCCAGGCATTGCAAGGATTTTTAGTGAGGGTTTACATCCGTAGCATAATAAGAAGGCAATTCCGGCTGTGAAAATAAAACTCAAAAAAGGTATAATTATCGGACGAGTTCCAATCATGGGAGACGCGAATACTAGTGCCTATGAAACGACGACGTGCAATGGGGGTGTGAAAAGCAGTCGATCAGACAGTTTGGAAAAAATTGACCCATTCGCAGTCGAGCAGGAAGGTCTTCTAACTGAAGAGGTAATTTTTTTCTTACGAGTCGTATGTTCTATCACAAATAGTGCTTGTTTTACAAAATGTGCCATCAGGTGGAATTGAAGCCAACTTCATTTACATTCAGAATTCTTCCAGGTTTTCTGTTCCTGATGGTTCTTGGGAGTTATTTTTATCTTATGTTTTATGCAAAATTCACTTACCGTAATTCAGACAATATGTCCATAAGAGTAATTATTAAAAGATATGAGATAGGTATTAGGCTCGTGGATTATCCATGTGTATATTCGTAACAATTCATTTTGGTATCTTGAATATACATGCCGGTATCAACCTCTTACGGGCACACTTCCCTCTCCTGGCCCGCGAATATCTATCAGCTTCTATTTATTTTGGCCCCCGTTCAATAAACTTTGGAATTCAACAAACACTAAATTGAGACGAATAGGTACTTAGCTCTGTGAATATATAATATGTTAAATTTTAAAATGTGGGCAAAAGTTATGTTTTGGCTCATTGAATAATTTGATGATTTAAATAAATAGAATCCCACAAAAAAAAAATTATATACTTTCTGTAAAACAAATTGTTCCAATCCATATTTGGGTATTATCACAAATATCTTAAATTTAAAAATACTAATATCATATGAGCATAAATAACTCCAGAATAAAAAAATATTCTCATATGCTGAAGTTTCGCGGAGGAACGTTAGTAATCTGTTAATATTCAAATTTTTTAATTTGTTAATAAAGCGCTATATCATAAGGGCATTTCAACAAGTCAGGACATTAATAATATTATATTGAAATATAATCCAAAATAAAATGCTCTTAAATTTTAACAGAATTTTAACGAAGAAATATTGATAATTGTTCAAATTTTTCAATAGCTTACAAGTCTTTAATTTTCAGGATAAAAGTGACAGCTCATCTGATAGCTCCGACTCCGATGGACAAATAAAAGAACGTCCGGCCTGGGATAATAAATTCCAATACATTATGGCCGCACTCGGGTTCGCTGTTGGTCTCGGAAATATTTGGAGGTTTCCTTACTTGTGTCAAAAGAATGGGGGAGGTAGGAATTGAATTTGTGTTGAAAATAATAAAAAACAAAAATTTCAATCAGAAAAATGGACTGGAATTTGGGATAAAAAGCTATAAAAACATTGTCCGTCATTACCGATTAAAATCGATAAGTATATGTTGATAGGTATTTGTCTGCCTGTCTGTTAGATGCACGCGATATCTCACGAAAGCAAGGCTGAATCTGCTCCAAGTTTTGCATGTGCATTCATCATATGTTCGACCAGGAGCCTATTGAATTTGGGTGAATTATGTCGTATAATTAGCAAGTTATTAATTAATTAGTGATAGAACACAAGGTGTCACTATGGAGTAACAGCGCTGTTTTGGGGGATCCTATAACTTTCGATCGATAAGTCTTAGGTCTCTGACCGATATTCTCGTTTAGTGTCTTGCTCGATTTGTAACCTAATATCTGAGTAATGGCAGAGTGCTTTAAAAAACAGAAGCTCCCTACATATCATAAGTGCATGCTTTTCTAAAGAAAAAATAGTGAATAAGCAAAATTTGAGCAAATTCATCTGTTGAACATGACCAAAGTCAGAATAAAGAGTGTCCTAAAATCCATTAATTCGAATACCAATTTTGTAGGTTACCTTCATTTTGGGACACTTGATGTTCAAAGATATTTTCAAAATAGTAAATTATTCGGTTCAGCCATTTTTGCTCTCATCTTGTGACTAGAGCCATGTTCTGAGTGATCAACATATAAAAAAAATTTAAATTCAAATCTTGTTCTTATCTTTATCAATTTGTAATTTGATCTGTGAGTGAAATACGTTATCTTGTGCACTCAGTTTTGCCCTCATCTTGTCTAAAGCGTTAGTCTGAGTGATTAATGATAAAAATCTTCCACAGGTGCTTTCCTAATCCCATATTTCGTCATGTTGTTTCTGGAAGGATATCCGTTGTACTTCTTGGAACTTGCCGTTGGTCAAAGCATGAGGAAAGGTGCAGTGGGCGTGTGGAGTCATATACACCCTCAATTAGTTGGGGTTGGATTTGCCAGCATTGTGGTAAGTTCTTTCATGGGTACTCCCGTAGTGTATGTGCCAGGTTAGGGTTAGGCCATAATTTTATTCCGATTTTCCTTATTTTAGTTCTATTACGAGTTCGGTGGCTGTCTGTGTTAGCCAAGTGAATATACCCCCTGCCTATAGGTTTCAGTACCTTTACACGACTTGATTTAAAGTAGGCGAACAAAATTAGTTGCCTCCATATTGGTACACACACACCTGGAGAGCTCTTTTTCGTATGTCAAACATTTGACGGAAAATAAATAAGATATTTTTAGCATGCTGGCACATTGAATGATCTGCCGGTGTTTGCGTCCATAAGATGTTTCACAATTTTGAAATAGTAAAATTGAAATGATGAATTCTTTAAATTGCAAAAAGACTTTCTAAACATCTTATATATATATCCATAAAAGGTAAAAGTAAATGGTTAATGGAAATTTTCTATTCCAGGTTTCTCTTCTTATTGGTCTATACTACAACATGATATTGGCTTGGACATTATTTTATTTATTCAATTCATTTCGCTCTGAACTACCATGGGCAAAATGTCCGGAAAATAACGGAACAATTGTTCACGAATGTGCTGTTAGTTCGTCCACAGCTTATTTCTGGTATCGAGATACTTTGGATATTTCTGGCTCTATTGAGGAAGGAGGTAAGATTGCCTTTGCATGATTCTGTTTAGTTGTTCATTGCACATTTGCTTTGATATAGCCCAGGGGTGGCCAACACGGTGACCGTTAATTTGAACCCACTAGATTTGAACCATTTACATTTGTTTGAACCCATGTGTATATCCGCAGGTTCAATCTTCATGCAGGTGCTAAAACCCATGGGTTAGGGTTAGTATGGGTTCAAATATCCGTAAAACAAAAAAAATTTCCATAGGTGCAATAGTATGCAAGTGCAATTGTCGTGGGTTCAGATGAGCGTGGTTCAAATGTACGCGGGTTCAAATGTACGTGGGTTCAAATGTACGCGAGTTCAATTGTAATGGAACCGGCCAACACATCGATCAGATTGGAAATTAAGTTCACGTACATTTTTTGGGTGACTTTATTAACAATATGTCAATCACAAAATATTACAAAGATTTTAATCTATCTCAATAGAAGACAGGTTCGCCAACCCTGGTATAGCCCATTGGGTGTATTATTTGAACCCTGAAAATAAAAAAATTTGTTTTTAAGTTTATGCGGCTTCGTGCATTTGTATATTGATGAAACTAGTAACCTTAACCAACTGCAACACCAACATCAAGTTTAATACTTACACTGCTACGCTTTCATGCCCATAATAGTTGTCCATATTGATTGGACCTTTCTACCCTTTTTTTTCTTCTGGGGTCGGATTTGTCACAGGATCCTGGGCTAGCTTGATGTCGCGTATAGCTAGTTGCCAGTCCATTCTATGATGTCGTCGTACCACTGACGTCTAGGCCTGCCCCTCCCTCTTTTTCTATTTTGAGTACTAAAATATTTCAACTTTTTTGATGAGTCATGATCAAAAATCTCCCCTCTTTCTGCCCAAAATAAATGAGGTTTTCCAATATTTCATTTTATTCCAGGAGTGGCAAATTGGAAAATGGTTGTCAGTCTCTTCATAGCTTGGGTTTTAGTATTCTTTGGAATCATCAAAGGAATCAAATCATCTGGCAAAGTCATGTATTTTGCAACTATATTTCCATACGTTATATTGATCGCGTTCTTTGTTCGAGGCATGACACTAGAGGGAGCTGCAGCAGGAGTTGTCCACATGTTCAAGCCTGACGTGAGTTGTTTACGAAGTTTCAGGTTTTGGAGTTAGTAGGTTTGTCCTACCCATGACACACTGCACTACGCAGACTTTCAAACATCTCATAGGAGTTTTAAACCTATCATTACCCAAAACATACCGGCAAATCTTATTTACATTCAAGTTTACAAAATATGTACCCGTATGTAAATAATTTGATATATATTCAACAGCTTGGCATTTCAGAAGTCATCTGTAACTTTGCTTGAATATAAGTCTTACTTACGGTACTTCAGAGTCAGTGCACATAATGCACCATTCTAATTCTATATAGTTTCATTAGCTCTCAAGATTTAATGAGTGATCTTTTGAAACTTCGCTCACGTAGATGAGACTCGCTTACTTCTGAGTGAGTGTGCACGACTATGTTTCGAGCAAATTTTTTCTAAAGTATGTTTTCTATTCCAGCTCACAAGACTTGTTGACCCAGTAGTCTGGCGAGAAGCAGCAACTCAGATATTCTTCAGTCTAGGACTTGGCTATGGAGCAATCATCGCTTATTCAAGTTATAATCCATACAATAATAATTGTAAAAAGGTGAGACAGCATTTTCTAATGAAAGATCTGGTCCTTTAGGTGTCCTTTAGCGACAGTTTGCCTAGAGCAGCGTTCCTCAAACTTTCTTTTTCTGGAACACCTACGCTTATTATCTTGCCTCGCGCAACACCAAGAAATTAGAAGGTAAAATTGGAGTGTGGTTTCAAAAAAATTCAGCCTATGGTAAAATTAAAAAGTTCGTTTAAATTTACGACCCAGAGTCGCCGGAGTATGTCCGAGATCGCCATGGTGACCCATTTAGTAGAAATCATCAAGCCCACTGTCTTCTTCTCAACGTGATAAACATTAAAATCCTATTCTGAATCTGCAACATATTTCTCTTCCAGGATGCCTTGTTTGTGGCTTCAGCTAACAGTTTGACTTCGGTATTTGCTTGCATCACTGTTTTCTCTGTTCTCGGATTTAAAGCAAATCTGGCGACCAAGGAATGTATGGAAGTGTAAGTTATCATTGTTTTAAATTGAATGTGGTGTTCTAGAACAGGAGCTTTCAAGCCTGGACTCCTCCCAATATATTGAAATTTTCTGTGACCCTGTCGGTTATGCAAGCACACCGCTTCTCATGTCCTTCGATCAAAATCTGCATTGTTATGCAACGGTGCCGCTTCTCTGATCCTATATATTCCTTTGAGTTTGTTTTACTATCAAAAGTCAATAGATATAGTACTCTGTGTGAAACCGGTGTGCACTTTGCGAGCCCTAGAATTTGTTGCGTGCCCACCTGCGGGATCGCGACCCACAGTTTGGATAGCCCTGGTCTTAAACAGTGACTCTTAAGCTTTCATAGTTCATCCCCCTTCCAAGGACTCTCAACACTTGGGGTCCCCTCTTTGTCATTTAAAATACTAGTTTCTCGATTGGCACGTTTCCACTGGTTCTTTTATTTACCATGTTTTATAATAAAGTAAAAAAAAAAAACTGAAATAAAAGAATAAAACGCAGTACACCCAAAGATTTAAACAAATCAATTTAGGAACGAGCATGGGAAATTGCTATTATATTATTTATCAGCCCCCCTTCTGAAAAAAACGAAATTGCTGAATTATGACAATGATGGTAAATGTTAAAATATATTTGCAATTAAATATAGCCTATTTGAATATCATAAATTTAAGATTTCACTAATAATTTCATTTTTTCGCAGTTGACATCAGACAGTTAAGAATATACCGTATATAACATTGATATCGTTTGTAAAAGTTTTGGTATTTTTCCATCGTCTCTTCAGCGTTAATGATTTGACGAGAATAAGGAAGTAAACTGTTGATGTAATTGTTGTTATCCTGTATTGAACTGCATAATGAGGGAAATCGTTTTAAATTTTCATTATGACATCATAAAGTTATGTATGACCTAACAATGCCATTTCAAAACAAACTGACTCAAATTAGTGTTTACTGTTCAGTTGACATCAAATGACTTGCCGATGTGGTCTATGCACTGCAAATATAATTTTTTTTTCATATTGTTCACCTCCCCCCTTTTCTGTTTTGTTCTGACATAGAATGATCCTATTTTTCATTTAAATTTCACATATTTTGACGAAACAAGAGAGACATCACACAGTGCCGTTTTTGTTACTTTATTGCAACGCTCGATTTAATGCTTAGAATGATTGCTACCTTTATTACCGCAAAATGAACTCTCTGTTGGATTCCGTAAAATAGCTGATTCAATTGGTATGCGTATACTAAAATTAGCATGGTCTGGTTATAACAGACTTTGTCGCATAAATTTGACATTAGTAAAACTGATATATGTAAAATTATTACCCGGTTGCATAATTTTCAATTTTTTCCACCGATGCCCTGATATGAACATTGAATTAAGTTCTAAAATGCATATAGAGCGGAAAAATACAATACTTTTTTTCGAATCTGTAATTAATAACATCATAGCGTATTTCAAGCGAATTGAGCATTAGCACTCGTTCATTTCTCTGTATAACTCAGGAAATGATGACGCGTCCTTTAAAAGTAATAACGCTGGTTTATACTGTGAGTTATGAATTTCTATTACTGGGAAAATTACTGGTATAGTTTCATCCCAGGGGAAAGGATGGCTGATAATACAGCAAGCGATTCTTTGAAACACTCTACAATTATTGAGATTGCAAAAATTGGATAATTCAGCATTTTAAATAGGTTCTAAGATAATATTTTCTATCAACGAATATCAAGTCTATGCTTCCGAAAACAAATAATTGGCTAACTAATCCCATACCTGACATGGACTGGTAACTTGACGAGTGGCCATATTTCGGTATGATTAAATCGTTTTAAAGGCTTTCCTCCTCCCGGGATAAATATGTAAATCTATATCACACATTGCATAGGCCAAATTCTGTGAATATTTCATTCCAATTCGATAATAGTTTTAGTTGAATCTTGAAGCTGAGTTACAGCCACATCGCACTTAGACAATCTCGCATAGGTAGTATTAGGGTGATAAATAGAAAAACACGATGACACTCTTTGATGCGCTCGCGAATTATTGACCGTCCAGCATTCTATCAGGCGTAGCCAAGAGTTGCCAAGGGGTTTGTTCTGAAATATCCAATTGCCAAGTCATACTGTATCATCTGGCTTCTGACCTTTAACCCCCCCCCTCCACAATGGCCCCCCTACACGCACTAGTTGCTACGATAATAATCCCCTTTCATTCTTTTAGAGCTAAACATTCCATCATTTTTAACAGGAATCGTCAAACAGTTCTCACTGCATTCCCTGAATCATACTTCATGAAGAATTCATCCTACATTGAGTTTCTTCAACACATGGATGAATTGAATTCAACTTATCCAGATATTTTTCAAAATTTATCGATAGCGAATAGGAATTGTAGCATTGAAGAAGAATTGAAAGAGGTTTTGTATATTCAATGAACGTATTATGTTTTTGTTATGTATAAACCGAATCAAAATTATTTTGAGCAATCAAACTTTCACAGCACGATTAAATTGTCCTTTAGCTTAGGTTATTTCTTGAAACTGTAAAAAATTTAAAATCAAACAAATAATTTTGAAAGTATTTCATATAATAATTATTTATTTGTTTTGGCTATCCACGGTAATGCTACGGTTATGGGAATGGGGTTTGAGAATTCTGACCTGCAATGCCGTCAAAATTCAAGTTCATCACTTTAGTCTGTATTTTATTTCTGAGCGAGTGTGTATGACCTCCTTATTATAAGCAAATCCTTCAAAAAACTGAACTTTAATTTTCTTGTTTCAGATCGGTCAAGGAACCGGACTCGCTTTTATCGCATTTGCAGAAACAATTCTAAGTTTTCCTGGCGCCCCCGTGTGGGCCGTTTTATTCTTTTTCATGCTTCTATGCATCGGGATGAGTTCAGAGTTCGGGATATTACAAGCTTTTATCACAATGGTTCTGGACTTTGGGTATAAAGTTTCAAAATTGAAGTTGACGTCTGCACTATGCTTAAGTAAGTAATAAAATTGAATAACCATGGTATTGGTGGGTCTAGTGCAGGGATGGGCAATTACTTTCCTAAGTGGGCCACTCACAGATAATAGGGTGCTCCCGAAGTATGCGAACCAAGATGGCGGACATCGGAACGTAACAGGTTAGGGTTAGGCGATAATTTTTTTCCATTTTTCCTTATTTTAGTCCTATTATCAGTTCGAAGACTAGCCAAGAGCATCCCGTAGTATTTATAGCTAAAATTATGGCCTAACCCTAACCTGGTACACATATTACATTCCGAAGTCCGCCATCTTGGTTCGCATACTTCGGGAGCCCCGATAATAGACTTGGTTACTGGGCTGGAGGTTCGAAACTTGATATGAAACCATGAAGGAAAAACTGTTTATTCACAAATAACTAGCATCAATAACTATTGCTTGCCTGCCTGCTATTGAGGGGAGCTCACTCTGATGACTCTATGGTCGTATTGCTTCCCCCAGTTTATACCAAATAAACTTGTGTATTTTTATATATTTTATTGCACCATCGCTTGTTTTCTGGTTGACGAAACAATACATCTCTCTCTCTTTCGTTCACTATAATATAATATATGAATACGTCATAAAAAACAGGAAAGCCAAAACTGAACAACCTACTATTCCGAATACATTTTCAAATAATTTCATAACTAAACAAATTGATTTGGACAATCAAATGATTCTTTAGGTTGAATTGGTTAAAGGGTTCACCTTAACAGAGTTTTTCCCATTCACCATTCTCATCTAAATAGACTTTCTGAGCAAAGTTTGAAGACATCTCATAAGAATATTTATAATTGCTAATCCATCATTTCTCATTCTCAGGCATGTTTATAATCGGTTTGATCTTCACGATGAGATCCGGGAGTTATTTCCTTGACATATTCGATGGATACTCAGCTACGTTTGGACTTGTTTCTGTTGCACTCTTCGAAACAATTGCAGTTGCTTGGGTCTTCAAACTGGAAAAGTGAGTGCTTTATGTTATTTATGTATTGAACTCTGTTTAGGCAAGGGCCAGTTACATGCGAACCTTTGGGCCTGGGTTCGACATGTTTTATTGATATCGGAGCCGTAGTTCAAAGTCAAATCAAGTTTAATTTTCAGTAAAAATCAATCATGAATACACACATTACGAGAAAGTGATAATTACAGTTTTACTGGGGAAGGGAAGTCGCTGCAAGCTAAAACTGGTTATGTATCAAGTGCGATATCAAGGGTTGCATTTTGGACCTCTCCGAGTTATTTCAAACTTGTAATGCTGATAATCAAAGAAAAATTTCCGACGAACTCTAAAATTCGACGAAGCGTTCTCAACAGATAATTAAAGAATAGACAAAATTTTTTAGTAATATACAGGGTGTCCATAAAGTCCCTTTACAATATCAATTTTGTTATGAAGTCAGTTCTCAGTAATTGTTCGAGTATTTTTACTTCATTCAATCTGCGAGGGCCAAAACAATATATGGTATCGATAAATTCACTTTGAAAGTTTAAAAAATGTAGAGGACTTTAAAGACAACCTATATATTTCGATATATATTATATCTTTCCGTTATGGGTGATCGTGGTTAAAGGGATGTGCTTTGCTCGTCTCACATATTTGGCACAACTTTGATAACATTGCAGTTTCATCTCAGATTCAAATTTCATGCTCACCACTCTAGGGTGTAATGAATTGGGTTGGAATGCTGAACCAGATAATAATCCAGTCCTGCCAACCTGAAGCAGCTTTTCGTCAAGCGGTGACAGCTTGTGCAAAGGGTTGTTTAGAGCAAAACGAGTATACATTGTTTTTTTCTTGTAAAATAACCAGTCCACTTTTTTTATTTTTCAGCTTTGAAAATGACATTGAAAGAATGATTCACTCAAAACCAGGGTTGTATTGGAGAATATCGTGGAAATATACGTGCCCATTTATTATGGTCGTTATTCTAATCGCAAGCTTCGTGGACATGTTTCTCAATCCACCGAGTTACTACGCTTGGAACAAAGACACCGGCACGAAAGACGAGTTAACTTATCCACCATGGGCTGTGTTTATTATCGTATTATTGATACTAAGCTCGATGCTCTGTATCCCGTTATTTGCGGCTCTCGTACGTTTCGGAATTTTCGACCCGAAATGGATTGGTGTGAATTCCTATGGAAGAAATAAAAGAGCAGAACAAAATGATAATGATGATATCGGAGTTACGGAATCTGCAACTCCATTGAATTTAAATTCTACGAACAAAGTTTGATTTTCGATATTTATTATCCACTAGGTGGCATATTTTTTGTGAACTGTCCAACACATTTGAAAATATGTTTCAGTGTCGTTTTCAGTTCGGAGCAAGATTAAAATCTACATGGGCGCGCTGCTAAGTTATTAGCTTTTAATGACGCTGAAAATTTGCCATTTCGAATGAACTAAGCACTCCGTAAGAAGCACATAGTTATAGAATCCAAAGGAGATTTATATTTATGGATTATTGAACAGATTCTGGTCGTTCCTTAAACATGGCGGCATCATATCATTTCTGTTGAAATGGCATTATTCTGGCCAGACACAGTTTACTGATTTTTATCATTTGGGTATTATTACTCCGTTATAGTCTAAATACAGAGAAGTGTAAAATAGCGGCATCAGCTCTGCCCTGTTGATATGGCATTATTCTGTCCAGACACAGTTCACTGATTCTTATCATTTCGACATTTTTACTGCATTATAGTCTAAAGACAGTGAAGTATAAAATAGCGACATCGGCTCTTCCCTGCTGAAATGACAATATTCCGGCCTTTCACGCATCATTGATTTTTGTTGAGATAAAGTTTTAATAATGAATGCTTATATCTTTATATTACATAGTATGAAGTGTTATGAATTGGAAACATGGAGCATTTTCATCTACTTCAATTAGTTATGGTTGGCGGTTGAAACATAGTATTATTTATTGGAATCCATTTTAGTTTCCGGTAAAAGAAAATCATTAATGCGTGTCATATTTCGGACATATTGGGGTGCTCCCGAACCCTCATTTACCCTTTTATGTGTCAGTATAACTCTTCTCAAGTGCTTTCAACATGCTATGAGCACGCTTTTTCTAATCTGTATTTATATATACGCTTTAGATCTAGAACAATTAACCCGTTATTGAGTATTCTCTCACCCGGACTGACAATTAGACAAGGAACATCCCCCTTCATTACCCCTTTTAAAATCCCCCCACTTCTACGGCGGCTCCCTATCGTTTCAGGGGTGCATTTAGGAGAGCCCCCCTTTTACCCCCACAAAATAAAATCCCGCTTCAACATAACAATGGACTTACTTGCGAGGCCTGCCACCTCTAAACCCAAGAACCATTAGTCCCCCATCTTATTTTAATATTAACACTCAAACTAGCCTAACTTTCCTTCCACTATTATAAATATGAAAATTATTCATATGCTTAAGCTTTGAATATATTTCTATTGAATATCGAGGAAGCTCAGTTTTAAAAATGCTTCATGCTATTGTTAATGTTCAATATTGTTTTTGTTTCTCTATATTTATTATTTTCAAACATATATTTTGAATTTAACATGGGATAGCAGCTTTATTTCTGTTTTAATGTTTATTCAAATTCATTAGCCTTATGGCTATACGATGTAACAACTCAGTTTTTAATCACTATGTTTGAGCTTTAAGTGTATGAAGGTGCAACATACTTATTTCTGCGCTTAATCAGCTAGGACCGTTGGTAAACTATTTCCCCTCCTAAGTTGGGGCCTGTGAAATTTCAATATTAGACTCAGGGCCATTTAAATAAAAACTTTCATGAAAGAGAGAGAATTTTCTTTATTCAGTCAACCAGAAAACACATAATATAAAAAATAATAATTTGATTAAAACCATTCAAAAAAATACTTTTTCCTATGAAAAAATCTTGGTCATTGAATCCCAATTTTTTTACTTAATCATCCAGGCTAGTAAATAGCAGCCCCTGTTGAAATTGTAATAAAAAAAGCGTTTTTCTACATTATACAATTTTTGAGCTTGAAACGCTTTTTAGACTCTTAAGATACTTGAGACCTAAAGACCTCCGTCCGGACCCCGCTGCCCATTTTGGTCTAACTTAGCAATTAGAAATTTCAGAACCCCCACTCTCGTTGGCAATTAGAAATTTCAGAACCCCCACTCCCGTTCGCAATTAGAAATCTTCAGAACCCCCACTCTCGTTGGCAATTAGAAATTTCAGAACCCCCACTCTCGTTGGCAATTAGAAATTTCAGAACCCCCACTCTCGTTGGCAATTAGAAATTTCAGAACCCCCACTCTCGTTGGCAATTAGAAATTTCAGAACCCCCACTCTCGTTGGCAATTCCTGGCCTCACCCCTGTAATTACATGCAATCCCAAAGCTGCTAAATTATGCTGCGACATATATGCTGCTTCCACGAATATAGAATCCCAAAGTTGGCTTATTTTATAATGCAGGGTGGTCCGGGGTTGTCGGCTCCGCGGGCCACAAAATTTTTTTTGCATTGTTCGCGGGCCACAATAAAGCCAAGAATAGGTAAACAGTGCAATACAAAACAAACACTTTTATTGTGCAAACACATAGTTATCAGGCATAGCCATTCTAGGCTAATAGAATCTGCATTCTATTTTTAGTTTTCTATGATGCCTATATTGTTTGCATATATTCCCGACCAAAAAGATAGAAAGCCAGATAATAATTTAGACTGCCAAGCACATTATTCAACTTCGCTAGTTGCCTCAGCTAGCCATAACACTAGTCAATTCAGTGACATTAGTGACGACAATATGTCAAAAGATTTTTCTGATTAATTTCATGACGAAACCACACGAAATGCGATTTTTTGATTACTCTTCGAATGTGACGGGGGCCACGGTAATGAAGCGGCGGGCCAGGGTTTGGACCACCCTGGTATAATGTAATAATTCAAATATTTAAATTATTTTTTTCTCATCCAACATAAGATTATTAAAATGGTACTCATAGAAAAATTGCACAATATTCAATTTTATTTAGAAAAATTCACTTAATGAAATATATACTGTCTATTTTAGCCATCTGTAATAAATGCTTTGAATAGGTTTTCTTTGCACTTTTGTTACTGTAACGTGTGCTCATTATTATTTTATTGATGTAGCAAAGTTACCATATTTATTCAAGTCTTGAAAGAATTTGATGATAAATATTTTTTGAAATTTTTGTATAGTAATTCTAATTCATTGTTATACAGTGATACCTTGGTAGTTGAACATAAATCGTTCTGAATTGGTGTTCGATTATCGCTTTGTTCGAGAACTAAAACTTTTTGTCGTAAGAAAACAATGGTAATTATTTTAATTCATTCTTACGCATTACAAAATACCCAAAATATTAACAAGACGTTATATGATTCAGCGGTGCGCTCAGGGTGTTCGAGTACTAAATTTTCATTTAAATAATGTAGCATTTTTGACTAAAATTTTTTGTGTAACTAACGATTGTTTGAGTGCTGAAACTTTTCTGCCATGAGAAACAGTGGTATTATTTTAATTCATTCTTGTGCATTCCAAAATTTTAACAAGACTTCATTTCATTTGGTGACACGCTCGTGTGTTCTAGCACCGAATTTTCGTTTGTCTACAGTAGCATTTTCGACTAAAATTTGTTGTTTGGCTACTTAATTTTTGGAGTATCAAGTAATCTGACTACTGAGGTATCCCTGTACTTGCTTTGATATTGTTCTCTATCAATGGAAACCAAATTTTTATCACAAAATTGATTTTTAAATAAGCGGCAGGTCATGGGTTTACAGCCCATGGCAAAATTCTGTCAAAGTCATGCTCCTGCCGACATATCGATAGGTTCAACATCCCTAATCTATATAGCCTACTGTGCTTGTGTATCATTGATATTTATTCCCTTTTTTATTGTGCAAGTTATTTTTGTATACACAATGTTTTGCCCTGTTTGAATTTGGTATTTATTCTCTGTGTCTGCTTCTTATTGAAGCTTTCTCCTATTTCACATTGAAATGTATTATGTTTGTCCTGTTTTGAATGTTTTAAATGATTCTTTTTGTGATTGGTACAAATTATTCATACACACAAGTTTTTTTCGATCTAAACGTTGTTAATATTTGATATTGTTTCAAAATTTGATAATCTAGAATTTTTTGCAATCAAAAAAACAATATTTTGTGGCTTCACATCAAGGCTTTAGATTTCATTAAAAATTAGCTTGGCTATTCAAAATTATAACTACAAAAATTTCCGTGTCCAGTCTACAGTCCAGCGAGACTTCGACTCAGGCTTTTGATTTTATAAATGAATATCGGATTAGGAAATCATCCAAAGCTAATATATAGTTATCCGGTACTATTAATTCAGACTGCCTTCAAGTATAAGCTTTCGATTTTAATAATAAAATTTACAAATTTGAGTTCATAATCCAAAATCTCCACTATGAGAATTCATTGAACCAATCCAGCGTTACATCCCTTTAAACTAAAAGTTCATGTGAAGTATCCAACGGAAATGAACAAATTAAAAACAAATCTATTCATTACAATAGCCAAGTTGGAGGCAATGGTTATTTCATTCTTTATTGTATGCGAATTCAGTCATACACTAAGCAAAGCTCCAATGATTTTATTTTCGAATATATATTCGAGTGTATTCGAATAGTGAATTATTTGGTATTGGCCATCACTGATCAAAACCTTCAGATATTTCTGCAAAAGAACCACAAATTCAGTCGAAAATCTTATTTGGTTTCATTCAAGATTTCTAAGCCTTTCATTATCAAGATTTAAATTCACTCTTTTAATGAAAGTTTACCGGTATACACAAACGAGCATCGATATACACAAGTGTTTTGTGAAATTTATGAAATGCCTTCTCCAATATACACAATTTCTTATTCCAAACAGGGTTATATGTTTATTTATTATTATTTTTCTGCTATTGAAGCTTTCTTTCCTGTTTATTTGTCGTCTGAATTAGTTCTGGCATAATCCCCAGTTATTCTCAAACTTTTTATGTTGCGCCCTCTTTTTAGAATTTGTCAAGTCTGTCCAATATACCCAATTTCTTATTCCAAACAGGGTTGTTTTATTATTTTCTATTAAAGCTCTCTTTTCTCTTTCATATTGAAATGTATTGTCTGTTTTACTTTTATTTATTTACTGTCCGATCAGTTTTGGCCCAGCCCCAAACTCCAGGGTCAAGTCACTTGTCATCTGAAGTCATCTCAGTGCAAGTTTTTTTGCAAGTTCATTCAGTTTATACTAAAGTCAACTTCAATATACAGGTTGTGCATAAAGTCCTTTACAATTTAATTTTGCCATGAAGTCAGTTCACAATATATCTTAACCAGGTTTGTTGTTTTCAATCATTGACTGTATTTTTACTTCATTTAATACACAAAAACTATACATGGTATCTATAAATTCCCCTTGCAAATTTAAAAAATTCCAAGACTTTATGGACACCCTGTATATTAAATATTCCCATATACACATCTATTAATGTGTTTTGCTTATTAACCCATGTATGACACAACTCTACAAAGACCTTAGCATAGTGTGTGGTATCAATCCAAATTGTTACTGGTCAAGCATTTGACTTTATTTTATGCTAAAATAAATGAACCAATTATTGCTCTAATAATCTTGCATTAAAATTAAAAGTTAGAACTATCGCTTCTTTGAGTGAAGTTTTTTTGAGTTTTTTGTTGAAAAATATTGAAAATCTGTGACCGTCCCATCTTGCTAAATCCTATAAGAAGCTATGCTGCATTTATTGCTTCCGCTCAAATTAACGACCGTTATACACAATTTTATTTGTAATCATATTATATACATGCTTATATTATATTAATTTTACCTTTTCGTGTCAGAATTTTACTGAATTTTTGCATATTCCCAAAGTAACGGCCACCTAACCTTGGAGGGTAACAAAATGGGTTATGTGGTCCTTTTAAAAAGCTCTATGCTTGGAGTAACAGCTTGTCCATTGAATTGTTCAGAGCACAGCTTGGAGGGTAACAAAATGTCTTATGTGGTCCTTTCAAAAAGCTCTATGCTTGGAGTAACAGCTTGTCCATTGACTTATTCAGAGCACAGGTCCGACTTGAGCAGAAAAATCCGAGCCCTACAAGATCTCCTAGTTCGGAGCCGGCTTTGGAGCTTAGGTCAAACTTAGCTAGAGAATCCCAAATTTGGGTTTTATTTTGCGATGTATCTATTTGTCCAAAGCATTGCTCCGAATTTTTGAATCACCTATAGCAGGAATGGGCGAATTGTGGGCCGGATCTTGCCCACCAAAGTGTTTCATCCGCCCCGGTGTGTCTGCTGAAATTTCCACCAATGTAATTTGGATATTAATTTCCGTTAATGAAAATAACGTCATAACCCCGATTGTTACTTGTGCATAAACATTAGCCTTGCTGTTGTTGCCCACTCCTGACTTATAGCAACAGCTTGTTTGACCTTATTTGGAGGAAAAGCTTAGTCCAACCAAAAGCTTTATTTCCTTCAAATCACGATTTTTTTATTTCCTGATAATGACTTTTCCACAGCCTTGGTTAGAGCCTAGCTAGGAACCCATGCCCAAACTTGCGTTTTTTAATGCTGAGGTATCTGCTTTTTCAGAGCCTTGCTATGAGAACTGTTTTGAAACACCTGAAAAATAAGCTTTTTTAATAGCTTGTTTATGGCCTTGTGTAGCGCATAGGTCGAAATCAGGATTTCGGTCGAACCCGACCGCTGTTTCAGTCTAACTTGGAAAAAAAGTTTCAGAACCTCTGAAAATTTCTGACCTCTGGTTCTATATGCCCAGTATCTGCTTGCCCAAACTTTTGTTTAGAGAGCAGGTATGATGAAACACCTTACGACAATAAGTTCTTCCAATTATAGTTTTATGAAGTGAAGCCTTTTTGATTTGAAGCAATGTTTCCCAATTTTCAATGCTCAAGAATACACAATACCTCAATTGTACACAAAGTTCCATTAAAAGTGCAAAAATATATTATTTATTTATAGAGAAAAATTGGACGCTCCCGAAGTATGTGCACCAAGATGGCGCACAACCTGAACCCTAACCTGGTACACATACTATGTTGTACGAAATCTTGGTGCACATACTTTTGGAGGTCCGAAAAATTTGGGTGAAATATTAGATTTTTTGCTATTTTTGTGTGCCTTGTATTTTATTAGATTTGAAAATGTACTTTGAAATGCTTGCTTATAAAGGAATCTGTAAATAAATTGGAAAAAGGCGATTTTCTGTGTTTTTTTGCTAAATTATGACATCACTATAACGCGAGTTCTGCAGAAATACCACCCTGAAGGTTTACACAAATATTGCCATATTCGCGGGCACCATATACCACAATGTAAGGCCTGAAAGCTTAAAAATGTTATTCTGTGGGAAAGGGTTGAGACGACTCATCATGTTGAAAATATAATTTAGAGCCCTCCAATTCAGTTATTATTATTTATCGATAATAAGATCGATAAGTATATTGATATGTATTTGTCTGTCTGTCTGTTTGTTTGTCTGTTAGATGAACGCGATATCTCACGAAGGCGAGGTTGAATCTGCTTCAAATTTGCATGTGCATTCATCATATCTCGGACCAGGAGCCTATTGATTTTGGGCAAATTATATCGTATAATTAGCGAGTTATCAATTGATTAGTGATGGGACACGCGGTGTCACTATAGAGTCATGAATCGAAACCGCAATTTCGATCGATAAGTCTTCGGTCTCCGACCGGAATTCTCGTTTTCCAATCAGTAAGCTTGAGCTTTATACTCACAAACCCGTCCGCCATTATTAGACGAGAACAGAAGTAACTTAGAAACACGTGGACAAGTTAGAATTTCTTCTATATTTATCAATATCTAACAAACAGCCAATCATAACGCGTATTCCGAGTCACGTGATCAGCGCAGAACACCATCTGCCATGTTCCAGCCATGCGCAGACGAACATCTTAACCGGAAGGTAAACTTCCCTGCCGGAAGTCTCTATTTGCCATGCGCACGGAAATACTCAACTCCTATTGGCTGATTCAAAATTTTCAACCTGCGCAGTAGATAACCGGTCATCTACTTGCCATGCGCGAGATTTCCGGAAAAAAGACCGTTGCCAGATATTTTTCGGACTGTTCAAACACGAAATTCTGAAATCTGACAACCGTCAAAAACGGTGAATTTCCGCGCATGGCAAGTGCATGTCCGTTTTGGTACTGCGCAGATCATGTGACTTTGGAATTGTCTGATTGGTCGAATTTCGTCCAATTGAAATATTCCTTTATTTTATTAGGGTTTAAGGACCCCGCCCCCCGTTACTAAAGAGCTAATGAGAAAACTGCAAGCGTTTGGAGGAATCCTCAGCTGAGTTACACTTCTCCAGAGATCGAAATACTTCAATTACTAACTATTAGGCCCATATATATTACTCTGCCACACCTCTTGTAAACTGTGCCTGCTGAAGAACTCTGCTGGGCCCTTTACAAGATGCACACATTTTGCTTCTGATTAAGTTATTGGTCCTGAGTGTAAGCCTGTAATTGACCCCCTCAAGCATTAGAGCTGAAGATACCTTCAATTTCCATTCACATCAGCTCACCCAGGGTGAAATAAACTGGAAGCCCTGAAGATTCATGAACATCTAAATTAGAAGCTCTTTTATCTATGTATCAGCGACTTCCTGTCCTAAGCTTTGCTCAGAGTGAAAACGCCTCTCAAAAAGTGTTATCATGAATCTCAAAGACTCCAGCTCATCTCAGTGTCTTTATATATCAGCAATTGCTTGTATGGAGCCTAACTTAATTACATGACTTTTAATGCATATGTTTGTTCTCCATACAGAGACCCAGGGCTCTGTGAGAGAAACCTAGAGACTCCGCAAGTTATTCGTTTACTTATTGAAACACTGAATATTTTTTAATTCAAAGCAAATGCATTTAAGTCATTAAATAAAGTAATTTTAGTTGACTCAGGGACATTAATCGGTAAATGATGTTTTTTTTTATATTTATAAGGTATTTGTGGGGCTTCGTAAATAATTGTCAACCTCTTGAAAAGTCTGAGATCCTCTGCGATATGAAGCACACCAAACAGATATATTTTGCATATGATGAATCTATTGCAATAAACCTTCACATTAAAAATGAATCATAATGAAATACTGTTACGAAATTTAATTTCAAAAATGAAAAATAGGACAATGTCTAAAAATAGTGAATGCTATATGAAAGCAATTCTATAAAAACTGATACAGAGTGGGGTTAAGAGTGGGGGAGTGGGGCCAATTTACATTAGACTCTATGACTTCACGTTAAAAAAACAAGCTTTCCAACTCTGGGACGCAAAAAATTTTGACGTAGATTCTGGCAAAATCAAATATTGATAACAAAAACTTTGGTATATGCAAAAAATCTAAAACAGTGAATGCGATGAATTCCGAATCGATTCAAATATCCTATTGTCTTTAGGTTTAGGTTCTTCCCTAACAGAACAAACTTGGGTCTTTTCGAGTGTCGAGTAAGAAAAATAACTCTATATGATCGAGGAGTTCTAGTTTGTGAAGAGAAATAAGACATAAGAGTCATTCATAGGCAGAAAGATTCAATTGCACAAATTATTACCTTTAGTAAAAACAACCTTGGAAAATGTGGGTATTGGTTTCAAACAATAAACTTGTTTTAACACTTTATAATCATGGCAAAATGCTTAAAACTTCAAAAACACAAACAACGTTAATTTTGGATAAAATGTCAGCGCTTTACAAAGAATATCACAAAAATGTGTATATCAGTGCTAGTCTGAATAGCTTGGTGAGAGCAGTTAAAGGCTTGTAGCAAATTTTACTGCAATGCAGGTCAAAACTACACCACGTTGAGAATTGCCAAACATTCCTAAAAGAGCATGGTTGCTCTCCATATATCAGTAATTAATTAAATAAAAAGAGCATGGTTGCTCTCCATATATCAGTAATTACTTGAATGAAAACTCACAAAAGACTTCATGACAAAAATAAAAGTCTCAATTTTTAGCAGTAAAAAGCCCTCAAATTTTACTTTATAAAAATGCAACGGAAAATCCTAAAATAGTTTAGTAGATTCATACTGAAAGGATGCTTATCAAAAAATTGCAGAGAGCAAAGGCACAATGAACACTAGATGATAATTGAGCATTTATAAACCAACACAGACAGATCAGAATAAAAACTATGATTAAAAATGATAAAATGGCTAAAGTATTTTAAAATCCTAAAACTTCAACATAGATTCGACTTTATTTATTCATAAAAACAACACAGGGCTTAAATTAAACTCATTATTTATCCCATACAAACAGTACAGGGCTAAAATCAAACCTATCAGGCATTCCAAGATGAGATACATTTGCGTACGGTGATTTTGACCACTCAAAGACTGGTTGTTGATCGTGGGTTGGGCCGGATTCGGCCATCATGCCAAGAACTTTTTGTAACGAATACGAAGTTGCTTTTACGTCAGTCGCAGCATGGTCACGTTGCTTCAAAGCTCCGAACGGGAACACACCATCTGCTGGATTCAAATCACAACGAGCTGCGATTGAATTTTCTGCACTGTAGGGTGGGGTACAATTACATCTTGAGATCGGGTCGTTTTTGAAATCATTGTATCTCATTAATTTAATCAAGCTATTCATGTCGACAACTTTCTTGTGGTCTCGAGCGAATATTTTAGCACGAGGATTTTTGTCGTGTGTGAACCAGTCGCCATATTTTGCCACCATCGCTGGTTGACCAGAATCCTTGAATATTTCCGGAAAATATGGAATGTTGTAACTTGCCCAGTATGTTTGATTAAAAAGAACATTTGAGACGTCATCGAAGACCGTTTCACCAGGAAGTTGTTCCAAGACGTACAAAACACCGGTTTTTGATTGTTTCTCGAATTCATTATAGTCCACAATCATCCATTGGTTGTTATACGTTCCACTGTTATAGTTTGAAAATATTTCGCACCATTCTTCCCCATTTTTAGCGAGACGGTTCGCTGCGATGTTTCTCAACCACTCAGGGACAGTTTCTGGTGTGACGTATTTCCACAAATCAGAGTTCGAGTTGCCATTTGTGGTTTCCATGGTTACCAATCCAGTTGCAAGAATGTAGAAATCATCGCCAGAAAATACAGACCCAGGGTAACCAGAAAAAGATTCCGAGTGAGAACCAAAATTATATCTTTTCATAATACGAAGCATACTTTCGAACGATGACCACGTATCATGCGCAGAAAATAGGTCCTGTTTGCCAGTTTTGTCAGTGACTATTTTCACGAGAGCAGAGCAATGCCCAGACCCGACTGCTCGATGTTTTAACGACTCTTCAACTTCCAAAGCGACTTCTAAATCCTCTAAATCTCCTCCAAGTTGAAAGAGATAGAAACCAAACGGTTTGAGACGAATCGTAGGGTTGTAAACAGCAAGATTCTTATATCCATCTTCTAATCCTTGTACTTGCAGAAGACCTTTGTTAACTTCATCCCAGAATTTATCGTCAGGATTCTTTTTGATCATGTCTAGCATCCACTGGATATTGTCTTGCACGAAATCATGGATTTTCACACATGAGTTGCTCAGCGGAGTCGAGTCACAGTAACCTTTTAAAGTGTTGTTCCATGTTTGCTCGATTCTCTCGGACGTTATATATCCTTCAGCATATCCTGCGCCATAGGCTTGCAAATGTGGGTCCACATCTAAAAAATAAAAATAAAATAACGTCAATAAAAGATTTGAGAATACTTACTCCTGTAGTATGTGTACCAGGTTCAGGTCAGGCCATAATTTTCATTCTGATTTACCTGATTTAGTTCAAAGACTGTCTGTGTTAGCCAAGTGAATATACCCCCTGCCCATAGGTTTCAGTCCCTTTACACAACTAGATGTATAGTAGGCGAACAAAATTAGTTATGGTACCTCCATATTGGTACACATACTTCTGGAAGGGCTTAATAAGAGTAAGGCTTAATAAGAGTTGTATAAACTTTAAATATATACAAAAGCAAAATGATGTTATTAAAGATGTAGCAAGTCAAATTATAGAGGTAAACCTTATTAAAGGGAATTCTATTTGAATAATATTCATATATTAATACAGAATTTTTGGCGCTCAAGAAGTGTGTGTACCAATATGGAGGAAACCAATTTTGTTCGCTTACTTTACATCAAGTTGTTTAAAGAGACTGAAACCTATGGGCAAGAGGTATAATTCACTTAGCTAACACAGACAGTAATAGAACTAAAATGAGGAAAATTGAAATAAAATTATGGCCTAACCGTAACCTGGTACACGTATTACGAGAGTACCCATTTTTCGACTTGAATGAAAATTGCGAAATCCCTGGACTATACTGGCAGAATCTCGGTTGAAAATCATTGAAATATGTGGCAATTTTGAACAATTTTTAGCATTTAGTATTCATATCAGAACTAAATTTACAATCGAATACGCTCCCAATCATGGGTTAATAAAAATTTTGACTCCTATTCTGAGTTGTAAAAATTTTAACTCAGCTCAGAGCAAATCAAATTTTATGAATGTAAACTTTGGAATATGTATGCTTTATTCCATAGACTATTAAGAACAACTAGTAAAACTAATGCAATTTTAATAGTTAGCAATTTTATCAACATCTATCTATAATTCAGACTCTTTGAACTCCAACTCAGTGAAGGCATGTTCAACTCCAAAGATTAGATTATTATTCCATTACAGATGAACATTTGAACAATGGATGTCTGAAACATATTGAATACATTCTGGTATTCAATTCCAGCTGAACCCCAAGGAACGAACGGCTCGAGGAATTCCTGTGCAATAGTTTAATTGTCTGTAATAGCGAAACTAAAAATACATATAAAAGTAAACTTAATACTGGAAAAAATAAAATTATCTTAATTCTTAATAATAGTGGCGAACCTAAACATCAAAGATTGAACAAAGAAAGTACGGTGGTTTTTATTTTTAGTGAAGGAGGAATAGGCAGTTCTAAAATAAGCAGAGGGTGTTTAGTCAGCGCTTCTTATACTGTGAGTAATGAAGAATGTTGGCAGTTCTTAATATATCTTAACCAGGTTTGTTTTATTTTGGTCAGTGTTACCTGTGGTGGCCAACGAACTACCATTATATAAAACACCTCTGAATAGAATTTTAGTGATATATATATATTTTTTTGTTTTTAAAAAGACAGCAACTTCGTAATCAATCGTTAAATTATTTTTATTGCATTTTGATGTTTATTTGATATAAATGGCATCCAGGGACAACTGCTGGAAGACCATAAAAATCGCCCATACTGTATAAGATTCCCCATGGATCGTTTCGTTAAAATCACTAATTGTATTTGTCAGCTTGGATGGAAGAATTCAGCTCTTTTAATGAGTGGCATAATTGCAGCAACTGTCATAAAAGCTGTTGCAGGGGGATTCCCGATTTTAAAAATCATGGTTGTTCCCCTCATAACATTGTTAAATTCCATATGAAATTTATTTTTGCGACTTTATTACCACCCTGAATACAGTGCATGTCAGTAATATTTCTCCTATTCTCATTTATGTCAGTAATGTCGATCAAATAGTCTAATGAAGTGGTCGTCAATCGGGGCTACGCTGCCCCCAAGGTTTTGCCAATGCAGCCCAGGGCTCTTCTCCTTCTTACCAGTTTCCACTTAAATCTGTGAATCTGTATTGATATACAGGTTGTCAATAAAGTCCCTTTACAATTTCAATTTTGTTATGAAGTCAGTTCTCAATATATCCTAACCGGGTTTGTTGTTTTTTTAATCAGTAATTGTTAAGTATTCTTCCTTCATTTAATGCATATGTGAAGGCCAAAATATTATATGGTATCGATAAATTCCCTTTGCAATTTTAATACATTTTAGGACTTTATGGACACCCTATATGATGATACATTGTTGCTATCAGGTTTTCCACTATTTATAAACTCGCTACAATTTTAAAGATCAATTTTGTTTTGCCAGTATAACTTCTGCATTTATATATTTATTGTTTACACAATTCTGACAATAAAAGACAAATAAACTATCGCACAGGGGTTCAAGCCTCTGGAATATTTCATTGGGATTCCACTCCAACAAAATGGTTGAAAACCTTCTGCCCTTCTTACTAATACATTGGCTTATATATTTTCATAACAAGCAAATTTGCATTTGTGCCCCATTACAGTACGCAAAACTATACAAATCGAGCGGCATTGTCTCGTTTCAGAAAAACTCATTTTACAGATGATTAGACGCCCCTTTTTTGGGGAACATCTGGACATGGTTGTCCCTCAATATCGGTAAAACTACAGTAAATTGAAGTCGCCCAAAAAAGTACAAAAAAGCGCAATCTAAAAACGTCATTGGACATCCCTGCAAAAAATAATTCGATTACCCAAAAGCAAAAATTTTCTACCACAGCGTTCGAGAGTTTTGAACAAAAAACAGCAATTTTGGTCATGTGACGTCTGACGTCATGCCAGACATCCCACGTTTGAGAGACACATGTAGTGTATGTTTTATTGAACCAAATGGCGGTCCATATGATGGTCAGATGTTCAAAATGGTTTCTGCATTTCATCCATTCTGCATTACTAAATCCAATTCCTATCAATTTACAATGGTGCCTGCAAATACCTCACTTGGACATGATGACCCAATTATATCTGATATTCCTCAACCAAAATTAATAACTTTAAATGTATTCCAATCACAGAATCATTAAACCAGATCATTTGCAGTTGGGCGTTGATTCAAATATTTAGTAAATCTCGTATTTATCAAATGTTTTGACAATGACTAAACTGAGTGATGATTGATTTCATCCTCTTTGCAGTAGGGTGGTTTACCCCCTTTGCGGACACGACCTATTTGCGGCCATCAACTTTATCGATCTAAATAATGCCAAGAAAATTAACGAACCGCTGCGATATTTCTCATGTGTCATCGTCCACTTGTCCCTCATAGCTCTGCAAAATTACACTAAAATGCGGCCACAAACAAAAAAGTTATGACCGAAAACCCGACCGAAGAAAAAAAACGGATCATTTTTTCATGTCGCCAACTACCCATTGTTCCATTAAAAAAAATTGAAAATCCATACAAATATAAAAGATAAAACTTAAAACTCGTGAGTTTCTTTTAACCATATTTAAATTTTCGCGTTTCTACATTCAAGGAGAGGGAGTAGGGGGGTGCGCATTTCCAATACGTCAATAATATCTTTGTCAACTAATTTGCGACCACCGTGTTTTTGTCTGTTTGATTGCTGTGATGCGGTGCTTTGTTTATAATTTGAAGAATTTTGTTTGAAATAAACGTGTTCTTAAAATATATGACGGTCAGAAATGCAATTAGAAGCCTATTTTTTCACGCATGGCTGCGTATGCCCTAGTCTCGACGCAGCAGAAACGATGTTCAAGGCTTGAAATCCATGATCGCACACTGGTTGTTCGGTCGCAAATACGCCTTCTGAGTGTCGTACTTTGTTGGTTTGTATAGCTTTAACCCCTGGTCGTAGAAAGTTAATTCGAAGTTCAGCGTGTAGAATAAATGCCAATGCACTTACGGTGAAAAAATTAACGGGTTAGAAATATTGGTTTTTGTTTTATAGTGGTCTGAATGAAATCGCCCGCAGACTGGCTACACCACCCTATATCTGATACCGGTATTCAGGTATTCCTCAACCAAAATTATTAACTTTAAATGTATTCCAATCACAGAATCATTAAACCAGGTCATTTGCAGTCAGGCGTTGATTCAAATATTCAGTAAAACTTGCATTTATCAAATGTTTTGACAATGACTAAACTGAGTGATGACAATGATTTCATCCTTCTTTGCCAGTTTGCAGTAGGTCTACAGTCAGACAGTCAAAGCAATTTCGATTTTGTAAAAAAAACTGAAGAGTATGAAATTCAACTCACCTGGATTAGTCGTGAATTCCCCAACAGCCCATCCTGTAGTTTCCACATTATCGGTGTAAGTGACATCAACGATCCATTGCGGCGGTGGAGGATCAGAATTGTGAATTTCGTGAGGTTCTATGAAATTTTTCCCTTCATTATAAACAAATAAAACTCTCCTAGTTTTGCCACAAAATGACAGAGCACAGAATATTGATAGAATTACAAGAAAAGATTTCAAGAACAACGCCATTGCCGGTTTCCAACTTCGCCAACGACAGAATGAAGCTATAAAACGGAAATCTCGTGACTAACGAAACTGCAACTGACGTTCGTCAATAAATAAAGAAAAGTGCGGCATCTAGCAAGCCACAAAATATTTAAAACATGCCGCAAAAAGGCAGTAAAGAGTAGTTGCTCTTTAGCACATTCTCGCGAAAACCCTGATTCATGGTGAACCACCGCAAGGTGTCAGTATCAGATTTAATAAATTGGTCGATTGAGAAATGACAGCTATAGTTTCTCGACCACGGATGCGGAGTACTAAAAAAATCACACCAGACTCTGAGCCAATAGAGAATCCGATCCGGTTAGCGTTAATTTTGACTCCAACTCCGGGTTAAAAGCTCCGAAACCAAATTTGATAAAAAAAAAAGCGTTGCAAGTCTTTGGTGGATGTTTGTCGGATTTTTGACCTTCTTCCTATGGCCTTTCCCCGAGAATCCACTTCCTTGTTTACTTCGTGACATTGACCAATCAGCAAGATGCAAAAAGTGACGTAACAACGCATCCGCTCAGACACTTTTCTCGCCCAGACAGATTTTCAGGCATGGTCGTAAACATTACCTCGTTTTCGCGTTTTTGAATTCTATTCAATAGTTTTCAGCTGTGTTTCGAATATTTAAATATATATCTAATAATCCAATGATCACTTTGTCTTCTTTGGAGTGTCAGTTTAATTGCAGTATTTAAAAATTAGCTGTGATAGACTAGGATAAAATTCTTCACCGGTATATTTGAAAAACAGATTGTTGAATGCTATGCATCAGAATGATGATTTGAAACAAATACCCCATTTTACAGGCGCCAACTCGCAAAACCACTCCTGAAATGAGCACCGAAATTTTTGCAATGATAAAGTAATTTTACGGGGGTCAAAGATCGTGGAAAGGTTTATACTTTATCTGTGCAAAATATCCACACTTGCAACTATTTTCGTGAGTTGGCTTTTGCCAAATGGATTGCATGTTTGAAAGTATCATTTTTATGAATAAATTTACCCACTTGCCGGTGAAAAGTTCCGGCATTTAGCTTGAGTATAGTTCACCCCAGTTCTTTGAGGCCGTGTCCTGATTAAACTGAAACTTTACCAGAGACAAAGTCACTGTACAGATTGAATTGACACAAACCTGAATTTGCATTTCAACAAAGATAAAAACGACTCAATGATCACAACCATGCTTGCACATGATCTGGTGATCAAACCTCAGATCGTGGGATTACGGCACTTGCACTAAAACATTGTTTGCCTTCGTCTGCCCGGGAGAATTCGAGGAGGACAGTGAGAGAAAAACGATGTTTAAAATTGTGACGATTTTCAACTTCTGGCACGAACTTCTTGTTCCTGTAATACAGAAGACGCCGGATGCTATAGATTATATATATACCTATATTATTGTTTACGCATATTTGCCTTTTCTCTCTTTCATTTCCATTACTGCCAGTGGAGAAGTGCCACAAGAAAATATTATGCGGTCCGCGGAGAAAAGTCAATTTTAAATGGCGTGTAGCCCGAGAAAGTACGGTTTAAATTAGTTTAATCTTGTACGTGCGACCCATCTCAATCCCTTTGCTTCGCAAAAAGTCTATACCTGATTACAATTCAATATCCATGCATATGACGTTCAATGCCTTAATAGCTAGCTTCTGCGAAGTGAACAACGCGATTCAATTCAACATATTTGTGCGAACAATTTTTCTAGAACGGGCGTCATGAAATCCCCATGACGATCGGTCTGACCAATGACATTAAACAACATGATGCGCAACTCCGGCATTTTTGTCCGAAGATCGTATTCGATAGCACGCTCCAATGCACATACTTGACGAGACGAAAACGAGCGGATGTGTGCTGCTTTCAAGGCGTAGCACGAATGGTGTTCGTGCCTGCTTTGACAATTGTTGTCGTTTTTAATGATATTTTTGAAAGTTGGGGTAAAAAGAAATCGGCAAAAGGTAAGGTGAATACTATTGTTGTATATCACACCCGGGCATCGCACTGTTAAGTACATGTGGGAAAGCCAGCCTTTGTCAAATACTACGAAGTTATTAATTCAGTACGGTACGTAGTTGCCCATTTGCCGAAATTACATATTTACTTACCCCTTATGGTTTCAAATAGTTCATGCACCTCCAGTTAAGATTTTTTCAATCAGTGAGGATATATACTCATTGTTGATTGCTGCTCATTGTAACATACTATTACGCATTCACTTTTATTTGCGTATTGAATCAAAGTGTTAACAAGTTCACCTAACATTTCACTCATACCGGTCTATATTGTATAGTCTGATTTCTCAAGTATTTGGAGCCACGAATGCTTGTAATTTTCTGACTAAACCCTTTTATTAGTTGGTTTATATACCAAATTCAGTAAAATATTTTTTAAATAAAACATGAGATATTGGATTTATTAGCTTTTCCATTCTGAATCATATAGACTGCTTTATTTATGCTTGACAAAAATTAATAAATCTCCTCTCTCTCTTCAGATGTGAAAGTTGTGGACAAACCTGTCTAAGCATTGTGAGACTCTTGCAGCACAAGAGGCAATAGCAGAAATAGTAAGTATATCAATCAAGAAATTAAGCCGACAGAAAGCAAAAGTTTCAACTATTCGTCTAATCTCAATTTCCTATTATTTATTCACAGGACAACTATAGCAGACGGGGAGATATCAGATATATTTGGCGACATATCAGTGACAGTGTGATTCCAAGAAATATAATGCAATTGAAAATAGAAAATTGCAATAGAAAAACAACCTATGGAGGCATGCAAAGACATTTAACCCTCCGGTAGAGTTGTGTATGGCCCCCCACATCCTGCAGGGCTTGAGGAAAATAACTAAAAATTCCAAAGCGTAAGATTGCATAAGCGGTCTTTTTTGTAAAAAGGCACAAAACACGCCAGACATACTTAAAACAGCTTTGGAAATGAGGATTACGGGTACCTCACTGCACCTGTGTTATATTTGGTTCATCAACTTTTGGTAGTACTATAGAAGAAATTCCGGAAGGGGTATAATCATCATTCATGATAAAATACTATCATATATTTTTTGAACAACTTCAATCTAGACCAGGGATCTCAAACTCGCGGCCCCAGAGAACTTCCAGTGCGGCCCTCGAACGCTTAACAATAATTGTAATAGTATTTTGGAAGTTTTTTTTTTTATCTAAATGTAATAGATTTTTCAAACCTTCTAAAGTGAAATTGATTATTCACACAGAAAACAATTTACTGAAAGTAGTTTTGGAATATTAATTTTTTTTGTCCACATTTTGACCCAATTAAGAAAGCACATCAAGCTAGCAAAAGAATACTTGAATAAAACACTTGAGTAATTAAATTAAACGCAAAGTACATGAAGAAGGTGGCATTTTCGAAGAAAATGGGAGTTGTAACATTTCTGCTCTTCACAAAATTCTGAAGCACATTGTTTAATTTGTCATATTTCCATCAATACAATCAAAAAACACAATAAGCTCAGCAGTCAATATGACAAATTCGAAGACCAACTTCGAACAGAAAATTTCCATGTGTTTGTATATTAATATAATTATACAACGACTTAGTTACTAAAAATCAATATCAATAATAATTCAAGCAATCCTATGCCACGCAATGTAGTGCGAAATGTCTTGTCGAAAAAATCTGTCATTTGTTTTTTTACTGATCTATACATGAAATGATAAAAGTAACTTTTTTGCATTACCGGAATTAATTAAACATTCGTAAAGATCCAGATAAACCCATGATCATGTGGCCTCGTTAGTTAGAGTTGGTACTATAAAATCATTTCAGACTGGCCTTAGTATGCTGGTGACACAAAAAAGATGCCAAACGCCAGGACAAATGTAATTATTAAAACATTGAGTTTATACTGTAGTATTTTTGTTAATTTTAGGTTCATATATTTAGATTAAGTTATTTTTAGTGTATGTATTATTCTTTCCTTATTCAAAGCTTGTTCAAAAATGATTTTGATGGTTGTACATAGAATTTTACGATTTTTTATAATAAATACTGTAACTTGCAAATGTTGCAATAATAGTGGAATGCAAATATTAATATGTAATTGCATTTGAAATTGAAGAAAATAATAAAACTTAATCCAACTGTTTAGTTGCATCACAATATATGTCACAAACTAAAACTATCTTAAAAATATCTTTTAAGTATACATTATCAAAAACTGTTTGCGGCTCTTTTTACAATTTTCAAAATGCAATGCGGCTCTCGAAAACCCATGAGTTTGACACCACTGATCTATTCTAGACGATTCAAGCATTGCTTTGGGAAATTATATCACTTCAATTAAATTGAAATAATCTCGCTATATTAAATACAAAATCGTTGCTATCATAAAGGTAAACCAATTCAGCCACTCGAAATATATTGGCCTTCACAAAGCAATGGAGGCAAACTTGAGAGTTCATGAGCTATGAACATTTGTTCTTTTCTTTGTCTTGAACTTTCCATACTCCACAGCCCCTATTAATTTTTTTTAATTTTAATTACCATGTGATGGTCATACATATCTTTAACTTGTATTTTCTGTCATGATGTATTATCTCAATGTGCCAAACTATTAATTAGTGTGCATATTTTGCTTCCAGATGACATAAATGTATTGTCATGTTTATTACCTCAGCTTGGAGTATTGACAAGAAAAAGGTGCCAGTAAATTAGGGTAAAAAAATTTTCAACTCATTGTTATAATCAGAATTCACAATCAATAGGAATTATAAACAGCCAACAATCAGTGAGAATTATATGCGAAATCCCTCAGAATAAATTTGTCTAAAATCGGAGGAAGGCAAAAAATATAGGTAGTTTCCATCCACACAAGCATTTCAAGAAGACTTGCTCGAGCCAAACTAAATGAGCATCGTCAGGTGATCGGTAAGGCTGCAAGTTGAATTCAGCCCTGCAACCTCCTGCATAGAAGATAATATTAATTAGTGGGCTATGAGCTAAATTCCT